CGCCGCCTCGCTCTCCTCCTCTCTCGACGAGCGGGATCGCGCGCCTCGCGGTCCCGCTCATCGTCCTCCTTCCGCGAGATGACGGTCTCGCAGAAGGAGGACACCGCCCTCCACGACCTCTCGCTCCCCACCATGGCCGCAACCACGGCTGGGAGCGAGAGGTCTCCCCCTACAGCTGTACGGAACGCCCGCCTCTCCCTGGCAAAGGCCGGGCACTCCTCCAGCACGTGCTGCGCGGAGTCGACCTCCGCGCAGAACTGATGGCACTCCGCCGTCGCCTCGGCTCCTACTTTCCGCAGGTACTCACCGAAGCATCCATGCCCAGTGAGCACCTGCGTGAGCCGATAGGTCAGCCGGCCGTGCCGATGGTCCAGCCATCCATCAAGGACGGGCAGGACTGCGCCCACGGCTCGCTGCCGGGCGGCGCCGCTGTCAAACAGCTGGCGCCGCCACTTTTCGCGAGCGTGTCGCCGGCTCTGGCGCTTCAACACTTCGACCGCGTCGTCCGGCGGGTCGACCCCGTTCCGGCGGAGGCCCTGCAGACACCGATATACATCGGCGTCAGCCTCCGCCTGGAAGTCGAAGGGCACGATCCCTGCCAGGACGGCCGCCGTCTCGTGGGAAATGGTGCGGTAGCCCCTCACGACCCTGATGGCCATGCGGCGCTGTATTGGCCGCAACAGCTGCTGGCCTCGCCGGCGGACCATCAGGACGTCGGCCCATACGGGTGAACCGTATAAGGCCATGGCCCGCACCACCCCCATGTAGAGGCGGCGTACCTTCTCTTGTGGTCCCCCGAGATTGGGCATCAGACGACCCAATAGGGTCGCCACGCCCTCAATCCGGGGGACCAGGCGGTCGAAGTGAACTTCGAAGTGCCAGCGGCTGTCCAGAACGAGGCCCAGATATTTCATCCGGTCTCTGATCTGGACGCAAGCGTCTCCTACTCGGACCAAGGCACTAGGGGCTCGCCGCGACAGAGGCAGGCCATGGAACATGACTGTCTCTTGCGGCGAGATGTGCAACCCCAGTGCCCGGATCCGGGCGACAACGAGTGCCACCCCCACCTCTGCCAACCGGATGGTCCTCATCCATTCCCTCCCGACCGCGATGATCAGAGTGTCGTCTGCATAGCAGATGACACTCACACAG